TATACATATGTACATATGTATGTATGTATGAATACATATGTGGGTCTGAGCATGTGGATCTTCGTGTACACGCGCTGTATTCACTGCTCGTAGGTACACTGTCACAGTATCATTATTCCTCGTCGCATACGTATCCTTCCTACTGTGATGTGCACTCACTCGTATTCTCATATTGTAAAATGTGCATTGTTTTATTCTCAGATTATCTCGGTTGCATACCTGCCTTCCCATATCGTATCATTATCATGTACATACCGTCTTCTTATAGTGTCTTATATACAATATGCACCACCCGCAGATGTATAATGACGTCCTGAACGACGAGTTGGTGATCTTCCCAGTGGGCAACGATAGTGAGAACTTTGTCCCCAGCGTCAAGAACACATACGAACAGGCACTCAGCAAATGCGAAGACGAACGGTACGAGATGGATATGCTGATTGAGATTAACATGTCTACTCTAAGGGTAAGTGTGCGTGTAAGTGTGCGTGTGAGTGTGGGGAGTGTATCATGTCTGATGCATGCATGTTAAAACGTAGACTGGGTTATATAAATGATTGCGGGTCTTTGCGCACTCGGATGATTTATTACACCCTGCTATATATACATATACAGTCTAGACTGATATTGTACACTATGCTAGAGCGTGCGTTGAGTTGCACAGCCTTTGTGTCATCGGCCTCTTCAACATACACACACACACACAACTGTTTATGTTGTGGATTAGTATGTACAAGTCTCTCAACGTACGCGCTCGCACTGTGTATCCATCGCAGCAACAAGGAAAGATATCAGCGTTGCACACCAAACAGCGCAGTAGTTATAACTCAGATGGCTGTGTATATGGGAGTTGTATATGTGGCACCACCTTTGGTGTCACCTGGTAGTCTGTCCGTGGCCAATTACTGCATGCTAATGTAGTGTTTGGTATAGTATACCTGTTATGCTAATATAGTGTTTGGTATAGTGTACCTGTTCTGTTAATGTAGTGTTTGGTATATTATACCTGTTATGCTAATGTAGTGTTTGGTATAGTATACCTGTTATGCTATGTAGTGTTTGGTATAGTATACATGTTATGCTAATATAGTTTTTGGTATAGTATACCTGTTATGCTAATATAGTGTTCGGTATATTATACCTGTTATGCTAATGTGGTGTTTGGTATAGTATACCTGTTATGCTAATGTAGTGTTTGGTATAGTATACCTGTTATGCTAATGTAGTGTTTGGTATAGTATACCTGTTATGCTAGTGTAGTGTTTAGTATTTTATACCTGTTGCATGTATATGAACTGTAAGCTGTGCTATGTCCCATATACTGTCTGTTTGTATATTCGTGCTATATGGCATCATCTACACATGAGATTTCGTAGTATGCTCTCTGTGCATGTATTCATACGGTATGCTAGGCATTCTTTTGTGCATCAGTTGTCCATGCACCAGTATTGTGCGTACGCGGTATTTAACGTATTGTCTGTTCATATACACGCACTATATGCTATACTGAACGGTATGAGAAACTTATATAATCTGTATACGTGTACGTAGTGTGCATTAATTATCTGTTGTGTATACGTTATACGTTTAGTGTGCTAAACAGTATTATATACTTCACTCACACTCAAACTCTGTTCAGGTGCTCGAACGGGTGCAAGACAAGATCAAGAAGATGACACCTGACGAGGCAATGCGTTTCCGTTTGGATGGACGATTGGGCGGTGCCTCCACAACTGTCCACTTCACAGCTCTCAAGCGCCTGTACGATACAAGGGTATGTACAAGTGTGTATTTATGATATTACGGGCCTATATGATACAAGAGTATGCACACATGTATGTCTGGATATTCCAGGCCTATGCGATACAAACACACACACATATA